CACGAAATTACATAGTTGATGATGCTTAAGATAAATAAAAAAAATAGTTTACCGACCATGTATATTATATTTATACGTATGTAAAATTACAACGGTACGTCGACACAACGAATAGTTTACTATATTATAAATTGTATAATTTAAGCAGAGGAGGATTTAGTATGATTTAGTGTAGTATATACATAATATTATGTATTATACTAATGGGTTGTGTTTAATTTACTGTTATTCTTTAAGGTATAAATTATTAAATAAAACAATTTTACGACATTCTATGCATATCATACATAATATTTATAAGTTATAATATATCTATGTAGTACTTAGGTACATCTTAAATTCCACCGTAACGAATACTTTCTACTTCTAGTTTTTATTACAATATTCCCAGATAGTATAAAGCACCAATAATCAGAATTTTCAAATTGTTATTATTTACAATACAAGTACACGATTATAATATCTAATAATGTACCTACTATAATTTATTTTATACTCAAAGGGCTTGCAGTAAAAATTTGTAACTCATACTTATGTCTGCAGATTATAAGATATCTATATACAAATTTAAAGTATTGAATAATATATTATACCATTGATTATATATAATAAAGTAATATAACTCTTAGACGGATCCACCAACAAATCCATCGCTCATTCACTCTATATTTAATTGATTTTACCTACCACTAATAATGATCGAAAAGTGATAGACTCGGATGTCAGGTAAGGGGATCCACTCATTGTTACGGTGCGTGACTGGTAAACCCTGTCGATCGCGCTTCCGCAGAGAGTGTGATGTTTAATATGTACACCGGACAAATAGACATTTCGTTTGATGGCGTTTAGTGCGCTCTTAGAGGACCGATAAATTACGGTGGCCGACGATTGTTCACAAGCAGATATCGTGTTCTGTATACTCTTGTATATATATATATATATATATATATAAATAAGTACACGTTTTGCTAAACTTGTTTGTTTTCGTATACACGGCGTAAGGCGGCGGGACAAGGCGCGCGGACATGGCGAGGGAGGAGGAAAAGTAAAGGAAAAACCCGGTGGAAAAAGAGAAGCAGGAAACACAGACACACACACACACACATACAAGCGTCTGGGCTACAAGCTATTACACAAACGGTTGGGATTGTGGCGCGTGGGAAACCGGACACCCGGCTGTTCGCTTTTCGTTTTCGCCGTCGCCGCCGCCGCCCGGCAGTGGGAAGAAAAATCAAAAAGAAAATACGCCGCCCTCTATATACACAGAGATATTGTATGTGTGCGAGCGTGTACACAGTGTATATATAACTTAATTACCCCTTCGGCGTGAATACCGGGCCAGATTATCTTCTCGCTCGGGATTACGCGACCGACGCTCATTAACTGTCACGCCGTTTTGGCGCGAACAACCGTCGAAATTGAGAAGATTACATTTGCATCGTCGTCGTCGTCGTTCGACGGGTAGGTGGGGAAGGGATTTCTTTTCGAGGATTTTCTCTCGCCGGCCGGGAGGTGCAGCGTAAACCGATAAGCGATGACGAGAGACAAAAAAAAAACAAAAACGTTATCTTGTAATTAGGTCGTTGAGCATTTTGCAACGGATCTCCGCGAGCTGGTCGTCTCATTAAGACCGATGTGGTGTGAAGTGATGTTGTTTATACATTGTGTACAAATAATATTTATTATATATATGAACATTACACTTAAATATACTTGAATGATAATAGGTATGGGTATCACATGAATACTGCACGATTGTTGAATTTTTTATTTTACATACTATTACTGCATTCATTTGAAACCATCACGGATATGAGGTTTAAAAAATATGTTCCAATATACTGTTTGATTATCCATTTTGAAATATACGCCATCTAATTCAAGATTCGTTTATGTTTCATTTTTTTATATTAAATAGTTTCTGTTATTTTTTTTTATTTTTAAATCTATTTTGAAAGTTATACTACATATACGTAGTTATTTAGTATTATGTAATACCTATTATATATACAGCTGCGTACCAAGTATATTATATTATACTGTTATGTACACATTATACTCTCAAAAACCAGATATAAAAAAAAATTAATTTTTATTCAAATAATATACCTATTGCAAATCGCGCGCATCGTACGTAGTACGTACCACCCATGTACGAACTTACCTAATATATATTTTGTGTGTGTGTGTGTGTGTGTGTGTGTGTGTGTGTGTGTGTGTGTGTGTGTGTGTGTGTGTGTGTGTGTGTGTGTGTGTGTATGTATGTGTGTTATATGAATGTTATATTGAACGTAAACATTAAGGTCTGAATAAAGAAAAGAAGAAAAAAAACAAATAACCCATCATCGAGCAGATGATGGAAAGAAAGATCACCCGCAGCCATTCACATTTGCATATATTCATATAAACGTATCAACGTATATGTGTATTCTAATATACGGTGCACCAGTATGTATAGAGGGCAATTTGTTATGAAAAGTAAACGCTCCTTTAATGCGTTTTCGACCCTACTACACCTCAACCACTCTTGTTTATTCAGCAAACCCTTTTACGTATTGTTTTTCGACACATGCATTTTTTACCCTGCTACAGAGTATATAAAAAAAGTTGTCACAAGCTAAAAGCACTCATTCTTAAAATGTTCAACCTACATATATTACGGTAGGTATATTACCCACACACACACATCTGTAATACGACCTACCGACAGAGTTAGTAATACAAAACAAATTTATTAATGCATATTAGTGTATACTGTATTACATTCCAAAAGATGTGATTATATTCTTCTCTTTTCAATACAAACAATAAGACAAACGACAAAATTAACTTAATACCTAAATAAACATGACTCATACCTAATGCAGCTTAACTTACAGAAATTATTATTATATATTACTGGGACATAGATAATGTTATAGTAGTAAATCTAAAATAAATATGACTGAACTGGGTAAGTAACAAGTATAAAGAGTAAAAAGTAAAGACACATTCAATTAGTTACCTACCTGCTATTTGATTTTTTTAAATTATAACCTCTATTAATATCTTTGGTTATTTACAATTTGTATGATAAAAAATACATAAGAAAGGTATAAGACTTGACGGGTAGAGTGAAAAAAATATCAAGTAACACTACTTCAACTATTTGATTGTAGCTTTTTTGTATAGAGGTGAATTTTATCTGTGAACATTTGAAATTTGTAATATAATATATAAAATATATACATATACATTATACATATACATACATTATAATATACTAGTTCAGTTTTATTATTTAAGTATTAATACTATTATTGTTATTAAATTATTATATTAAATATTTGATTATAAATACCTCATAGATTAGGTCGGGTAGTTAAAATAACTTTATAGTATGAAAACAGTTTATACCTTGCGAGATGTATTACCTATTGGCTATTGTTATAACTTAAGTAAAAGTAAATGAAATAGTAAATTGGTACAATGGTACATTGGTACCTATTACTTAACTGTATTTACTTATTATGTATTATAATTTTTATACTTTAGTATTTACAAACGGTAGTTATAACATAATAATACAGAAATATTAATATATAATATAAGTTTACATGTATAAAATATATTTGTTATAGGTAATAGATATACCAAATTTACTTTAGTAATTGTCATTGAGGCTTGAGCTGATTAATCGGAGATAACTTGTGATAATAGACTTGCATTCATAGCTACAGCAGCAAAGTGGCAGTGTATTTTGTAGAGTGGATTTGGAACAACTGAACAAGTATAAGACGTACAAGATAACTGTTGATTAATGTATAGATATATTATTATATAGCAACCACATATAATATATATAGTGCAAGAAGTGTAAAATAAGAGGTAGACAGTCTAGAAGCGTCACACTTGCAATATTTTGTAAGCACAGGAGTGCGACGTCTACAGCTATATTTTCAACGTGGTGAATACTGCAGTTTGTAATATATGTATAATATTAATATACTTTAATACTAACTTCAAACGTTTCCAAACGCATATGGATTACTTGAAAACAATATATTTACACGACATCGTCACCTCGATACATATATTATCTATACATAATATTATGTAAACATTAATACATCATTCCGGTACCTTTATATATATTATATGGGATAAGTATTATATACATACCGTCTAATATCGATACCTGCGTGCAGGCGAGCTCACATATTATACATATGTAAATAGCAATGGTTAAGCTGTTAACCAAGATATCTCTGGGTATGGGTGGTATCTCATCTATATACAACTAAACACAATACGTATAATAGCAATGCACTCTGCATGTTTCGGGCGATGAAGTTACAAAGTGGAAGCACACCGCGCATACACGCTTACGCGCCAGAGCTGCTGCACCGGTGCGGCGGTTCGTGTCGGTTAATCGAAATCGCCGCCGCGCGTGAAATTTCTTCGCGCACACACACACACAAGTGCTCGCGCGGGCGGGCGAGACGTGTGTGTACCTATACATATTATTAAATAGGTAGTGCAGGAGCGGGACGGTACGACGCGGAGTCTGCAGCGGGTCAGAGATCTGCCGCCGGGACCGCGCGCAAAGCCTTGTACGGCGGCATTGGTGGGTGCGCGGAGGGTTATATGTGCATATACATGTACATTATGTGAGTGCGATGGGTTGCAGTGCCGGCGGTGAGGGGTGGGTATATAGCGCGTGTAAAGGGACGGGAGCTTACGACGAAATTAATAACTTTAGGGCCACCGGTCACGAGCCGCGGGGGTTTGCCGTGTTTGACACGTTGTTATATTACGCGGCGGCAACGCCGGTCACCGCGGGCCCCCGCCGCCCGGCGACCGGTGTGTGGGTGGCCGGTCCCGCGGCGGCCGGGGCCCGGACACGCCCACGGACCAACACACACGCGCGATTGTCGCTAGCCGAGCGCCGCCCTGTGCCGCCGACTTAGTAACGGCACCACCGCCGCCGTCATATTTACGCGGCCGCGCCGGATATACTACCAGCATCAGCCACACACCGCTCTATTCGCTTCTTGGCCCTGGCCACGGTCAAACTACCATTGCGCCACCACCGCCACCGACGCACCGCACACACGCACACCCACGCGCTACCACCGCAGCCGCAAGTTTACGGTACACGAAATACATGTAAGTACGTCTTTATATATATAGTTTTATTCATGTCATTTACACAAATCATAATAACATAATTTATACTATCATTCTATAATATGTCATATGTGACGTATCGTATCGATGCTTAAGAAGCCAAAAGTTGTACTTCAAAAACACTAAATTTTACAAGATTTTTAACTACTTCAAACCAAATAATTTGTGCTGTAGTTTTTTGCTTTTTGGTGCTGTACAACTGATTTATTTATAAGATATTCTTTCATAATTTACTACTTTAAGGTTTTAAATTTTTTCAACGTAATTATAATGTTTGTATACAATTTAAATGAGTGTTATAAATGGCATTTACCTATAGAATATATTTCTACAGTGGACAATGGACATATACAAGTTTTCGATAGTCATATTACAAATTATTAATTTAATAAAAACTCGACTTAATTATATGAATTGTCTTAATCAAACAAGTAACAACTAACAAGTCCGGCCTCGTTATATTGGTCTGCTTAGTACTTAGATCACGATAAAATATTTATTGTACCTATTTCTCATTGATTTAGGACTTGTTATAAGTGCGCACTAATAAAACCTACATCTTACGCTAAAAACACAAAAATTAAAATATCAAAAAAACATATTTTAATTATGAAATTCACTAAAGGTGTTTTGCCGAATGAAAAAACAACTAGCCAGATTAACCCAATGGATTTATATAAGATAATTTTGAGTAAAATTTGAGATACAACTTTTGACCAATTTATCAACATCAATGGAGCATTAAATTATATGTACCTAAATTATATATTATATTTTGTTAAATGCGATTTTCGTTGAACTTTTTTTAGATCGCTGCCACTTTTTCAACTAGTGTTCTATTCTGTACCGGAGTTGGTGCCGTCGCAATATGATTTGACGTATTCAGATAATGGGAACAGGTAAGTCACGTTCACGCATCATATTATTATATAGGTACCTATGATTAATTATAATCATAGTATTTTATATTATTTCATTCATATTATCTCATGTACAATTATATCAGCTATACCTATACGGACATACAGTATAGTAAACACGTTGTGGCTTCCATTATTTAGTAAAATTTTACATTTTTCCGTTAAGTGTAAACTCGTGACGACGACCCTGTCACTAATCATTTAAAACGAGTAAAGATACGCTCGGCTGTATTTATTTACACGTAAAGATTGAAGAATTACACATTATAATGGTTTGGCACAATATTGCAATATGGTATGTCTTGTACCAATATATAATTATCTACGATTTAATTTAAATGAACTTATGTGAACTTAACATATAAATACTTTAAGTACGTATAAAGTATAAACTTTGAATAGTAATGAAATAATATATTAATATGTATAATTTGTATGTAGGTACCTAGGTATATAAAATTCGATAGATAAAATATTTAAAGTTTTAAGAATCTTAAAAAATGTATTATTTTTTGAGCAATTTTATTTTTCCTGTGGAAATTTTGTGTTCATGCGATATAAAGAGTCGTATAACTATTTATCTGGAGCCACAAGTGTACCCATAGCCCATAAGTACTGGTAATACTGGTTTAAATATTAAGCTCGAATATTAATTTGAAATAGGTAACTATATAATATAATCATATATTGTACAAGGTTTTGTAATTTGTCGACTTGGTTGGTATACTTTTTATGACAGTAATATAGTAGCACATGAGTAGAATATTTATCGTGTTTAATAAATTATTTTTATTCTTATTAAAAAATCGAGATTATTATCTGTACATTTTTTACATTTTTAATGGATGATAGACATAATAGTGTATTAATAATATTATGTACAAACGGAAACATTAATTGAATATAAGTATATAACTTTATCGGGATTATGATATTATGTACATATACATACAACATACTCAGCTTTTATGAATTTTTACTTGACGTATTATGCCTATACAAAGCGCATAACAGGAGTGATTAATTACATCATTTACATATAATTATTCTTCATATTTTGTATGGTTTAAGTAAAGTTTAGTATGAAATTAAATTATTTTATACCTACCATATAGTGCTTAAATATCTACAGTATATAAATAAATATTAAATACATATGTGTACAGATTTAAGTGTAGGAGATCAGGATTTCTTAATCGTGATTTGTTCAAAAATAGTCCCATATATTTCCATACAGTTTAATTATAATTTATAATTATATTTAAAGTTGCTTATTATTTATTACATTTATAATTTATATGCAAATATGACAATATTTATAAAATAGACAACAAAGATAAAGCAAACAAGTTTAATTTAAAAATAATAATAATAATACAAATTGAAATTGAAATTACAATGATACATAGATAATTTAATAATAATAATATGATAAATCTGCATTATAATTTCAATTAAAACAGTTTATTTATGGTTCTGCTTCTGATTTCATATAATTTATAATTACAAAGTTTATACACTAATAATATAATAAAAATTAAAAAATAATAAAATAATTTAAACATAAAAATATGAAAAATAATAAAGATATCTTCCTACGTTATAAAGTTTTCTTAGTAAATTGGTATGATTTTGCTTCGGAACTATATATTGTCATTGATAGAACCATCATTGTAAAAAATTAAAAAAAGAATATATTGTGCAGCAACGTTTGAACCCTCAGATCTCGATTACCTATATTGTTAAAGGTAATTTCTGCATAAGGTGCTATTCAGCTATAAATTATAATAGTCTAATTATTTTTAAATTTTAATCTAATAAAGTAAAATAATTTATAAAAAAAAATGATTTGGTACCTATAGGTATGTCATAATTGATAGTCTTTTGAAATTATATACAAAATATAATTAGTTTAAACAAAATATGATCAAAAAGTTAAACTTGTAGAATCTTTTGTCAACATGAAAAAAATTTCATCTGAAATTGATTTTACGTCTTTTTATGTTGTTATAAGTATAATTAACTGGTATACATAACATCGCATAATGAAGTCTTTATGTACATAAAAAATCAATTTATAAAAAAAAAATGACAACATTATTTAAACAAAATCTATCGTGCACTTGGGTCATTGTTGTTTGAAGGCAATTTAAGTATAATCACGTTTTAGAGGCAACCTTTTATCTAAATAATAATTTTGCTATAAGGTTACTTTTTTTTTAGTATGCGAACCAAATGTGACTGTAGTTTTTTTAAACATTTTTAAAACCCGATCCTTGAATAATACAATAATTGTAATGTTTACTAAATGTGTAAGTATTTAGGTAAATAGATTATTTGTGCACATAATAATATTAATACATTTTACATGTCTCAATTTAAATTTGTTCTCTTATGTAATATATTAATATTAAAGTATTCAATTGATATTTTAATTCTAACTCTTCTAAGATATACACAGATAATACCAAGCGAAAATATTTTACGCGTTTCATTAAAATATAGATATAGTTTATTTTTAAAAATAATTTATTATTATTTTAAACAATATTTATATTTTAATATTAATATTTATTGATAACCAAACAAAACATATAAAACATAATATTAAATATACATACATAACATATTTATGTGTCTATATTTCACCATGAATTTATTTTTGAAAGCTTGAGTAACATAAACTTTGTGTTACATAATACACAGATTAACAAAATAATGTAATATTTTGCACATATAGAGTTTGATTACTTATATTATACTTTCATACAAAATATAATCATATATATTGTAATGTTGAAAGTTCTCATAATAAATCCTTATAATTCGGAAAATAAGTTCTCTTGAAGCCGTTACTACACAGTTCAATTTTTTTATAATCAGTTGATCCCGCGGACAAATACACTTGCGCCTGGTCCTTAGAACCATTCGACCCCCTTTTTAAAAGGATCGAAAGCACATCATAATCTCTATTATTGAAAAGTTTTGTTGACCTTTTTGTATCGTTGAAACCGTAAGCCTTTCTTTTTCGGTTGAACTCAAAAAGCCCGGAGAAGATTAGGTATCCCGCTCAAAAGGTGAACACAAAAAAAACTTTAAACGGGCTACTCGTTCAGAGCTCGCAAAGTTCGAAAAGCCTTAAAAAAAACTGTTTTATTTCTTTTTTATTATAAATAATAAATAAACCAAGAACAAAAAAAAGTTAAAGCTTTAATCAATTATTATTTAACACCATTATATAAGAGCACTGAAATCGCCCTGTTTCCAATTTCAACTGAATGACCTTATAGTCCATAAATATTAAATGTATTCACTGAAATTTTAGGGAAGTTAATTGAAGATAACTGAACAAAAAATATATTAAACTTTAATATAGGTATGTAATTCAGGGTAATCATAAATCATAATCCGTTTTATTACAAATTTCCAATTATTTAAAAATATTTTTAGTAAATTGCAGTACATTCGGGGTTTTGATTATTATATATATGCAGAAATCATAACTATTTTCTACCAGGTATAATAATAATTTTTTAGAGGAAACATTTTATAAGTGATATAATCCATCTGAATCTTAAATTATTTATTACTTATTAGCATTGAGACACCTTTTCAATTAATTTGTATTTAATTGCATACCGCCGTTTTAGTCATTTTTGTCTGAACCCATAATATTATATTTTATGTACTAATATTACTATACAAATGTCTTGTATATATTAATATCGCTTGACACCATCACATGTGGTGTATACTTATAATTGTAATTTATAAATATATTGTTAAGAAATACTGGTGACAGCGAAACTAAGCCGGGTCAACTAGCCAAGAAATATTTGAGATTTATTTAAATTTTAAACATCTATTGTCTATTAGGGGAAAAAGAAGTGAGTGTGTTTGGAAAATCATCAATCTTTAACCTATAATACGTAGGTGCTATAATATAAATCAAATCCTAATTACTTATATACAGGTACAGCGGGCACAGTACGCAATTGACATCATAATGTTTTGGCATCGTATACAAAAACAAACCATATGATTACAAACATTTTCGATTTAATATTTTTATAACATACTGTTATTAAAATAATTCGTTACAACTAACAATTGACGGGATTTATTATATAATATGCACTTATTTTTGTGTTAGTTAAAAAAACCGTATTCATATTGAGTTTATTAATTAAAAAAATTAAAAAAATTAATTACATTCTAAATTCACCGCACAACGGGAACATAAAATGTGTTATAACAATTGGTTCACTCCGTAAAATTATGATTTGAAAAAAAAACTTCCAGCTTTAATATTTCAAGGATATTCCCAAAAAACGATTTACGTGGCGTCTCTTCCACCGACATATATTATCATTATATATACTGTATGTGCATTGTGCACCTATTTGTAACGTATTATTGTTATTATACTATCGTTATTATTTCGAATAAGTTTCGATTCAGCGTACGTATAGCTGCAGAGGCAGCGATAAAATATATAATATGGTATAAACGCTCGACGGTGGACCGATCGCGCGACAAAAGTTGGTCGCATATAGTTGCCGCCAAACGGCTGCAGGCTACGCGGCACAGCTGCGTGTAATGTACTCGGCGCGTATAGCTTTTTCACAACAGCGGTCCCGCGCCGGCAGTGGCGGCGGTTGCGTTGTATCCGCACCCCGCGTGCATATACTTTTGCTCGACATCCATTAGCCGCCGCCGTCGCCACTGCAGTTTCTGGCCCCGGGCCCCGCGTATATACTCGCGATCGTGTTATATATTACGATATCGTACATACTTCCGGAAAACAAAAATCGTCGGATGTGCCGTAGTTTCTGGCACAGCGGCGGCCGCGTTACGAAGTTAAGCGCAACGCACCTCCGCGGTGCGAAACATTATTATGATATACTGCAATATTGTATATTGTATGCAGCCCGATACGGGCACTAGCGTGTTGTACCCAATACCGTGGCCGTAACAATAATAATAAAATGACTTTGTACGACAATAAAATAATCCGTAATATTTACAAATTAGAATTAAGTCGTCAACCCAATCGGAAATCGACAACAAGCGCAGCATTATGTCCTTAGAGAACATTAAGTTCTTTTCGACTAACTTTATATGTATTTTAGCTATTCCCCGCGGCTTGCGTATCAGCATTGTTTTGTTAATCCAGCTACAAAAAAATGATGCAAATGTTGTTCTATAGAAACTAAAAAATCACTATATATACCAAACAACTCCTCAATTTGACAGGACTTTTGTAAAATTTAGAAAGGACAACTTTGCTTACTTAACTTATTAATGCTTACTCATAATGAAATAAAAAACAATAAGAATATTCATAGCCAAAATTATCACTAAAAACTAAAACTTTTCTACCCCTTTCCATCCCCTGGAGGGCTTATGGGTTGAATTTCTAAGAAATCCTTCTTAAACGATTTTGTTGACTTTCAATCATATTAGAGTGGTTATTTAGTTTCACCCCTTTAGGGGTTGATTTTTTAAATAAAGTAGTTCATATCCTTTCTCGGGATTCAAGCTGTTTCCACACCAAATTTCACCAATATCCGCTCAGCGGAACGAAACAGACGAACAGATTTATTTGTAGGTATTGGATGGTGCACAATAAAAAAAAAAATATTAGATTAATTTCAAACAGTATTGAAGGATAAAAATTAAGTGCATTTAAAAAAGTACACAAAATATCACATTTTTACGTAAATAGTTAGGTAGATAGTTTTGTATAAGACACTTGACGCGCGAGCGTGGTATTCATAAGCGGATTCCGAAACAAGCTCATTAATAAACCACACGCCGAGCCCATATATCGTATATAGTCGTCGCCGTCTCTCGGGCGATATATACACTATCGCCGCACTTATACGTATATATAAGCCCGCCACGCCAACTTTTAGATCCTTCTTCGCCCCTGCCACCGCCGGGGGGGAATATATATATACACACGTTAGCGATCGCATCGTTTACGGTCGAGTACAGCATAATATATCGCCTTATATAATTCTTGTATATATATATATATATATGCATGTTAGGCCGAAAAAGCTCCAACTCGTCACTTTTCAACGTTTTCTATACCTACACAACATATATATATATAGCATAATAAAGGTGTCCTTGCCCACAACTTTTCAACCGTCGACCGACGAAGGGAGCCCCCGTAAACGCAGTCGTCTCGAACAAAGTTCGCGAGCAACTAACCATGACTAACCAGCTCGTCGCCCAGCCATCCCATTCTGCAGGGGATGTGTGGTATAATACATGTCATGATATAGGTATATACCTGTCTATACAGTCTAAGCATCATAATATTATAATTTTTCTTTGGCAGACTTAGCACAGGTCTTATCGCTACTTTTTTTGTATCAATAACGTTTCATTTATACATTATATCGTTATCATAACAATTACCAAACTGTTTTTTTTATCTCAATGAATGCGTTTTTGTATATTTTTATCCATATAACTTCTTCATGGAACACCTCTTCTTTTTCATCATCTTCATCGTCTTCAGATAAATTATTTTCAAAATAATTTTGTGACTGAATTTCTTCGCTTTCCGTGAATAAATTGTTATCAACCATCAAAAAATCATTGGTATTATTTTTACTTACTGATTGATTGAATATAAATGTTATTTTTATAAGTATTACTTTAAAAATGATGTTTTTCAATCTAGCTATATATTATTTTATTATTGAAATAGGTATAAGTAAAAAGTAATATCGGTTTGTATAGGTACATTACTTTGTATACATTTTCAGTATGATAGTTATTTTACAAGATAATAGTTAATGCAACATTCAATTATCTGTAAAAAAAATACTTTTTTTATAAGTTTCAATTGATTCGAGGGGGGTGAAACTTTTGAAAATCTGCATATACCCTCCGATTTAAAGAATACTCAAGTACATAATTCGTATATGTAAGAAAAAAAGCGATTAGTTATTTAATTTATTAGTTCATACAATCTACATCAACTACATAAGTACTACTTTACGTGTGCATATATTTTTATAAATCAAAATATATTTTTTATTTTGTTAATAGGAGATCGATTATTGGATATCCCGTGCAAAGTTTGTGGGGATAGAAGTTCTGGCAAACATTACGGCATTTACAGTTGTGACGGTAAGTGTGGTAGATAATTTTCCTTTAGTATTTATATACTAACATTTCGGGACTGGCAAATGCCATCGCGTGCATTGTGCTGCAGGTTGTTCCGGGTTTTTCAAAAGAAGCATCCACCGGAACCGGGTGTACACGTGCAAGGCACAAGGCGAACTCAAAGGCAGGTGCCCCATTGACAAGACCCACAGAAACCAGTGTAGGGCTTGCCGGCTCAACAAGTGTTTTCAGTCGGCGATGAACAAGGACGGTGAGTTCGTGTCAAAATTGATATTATATTATTATATTGCTCGATTCCACCCTTTGTATATATATTACATATTTTCACCACGCTGTTCTGAAGTTTTTACAACTCAAAATGTTTGTGTAAACTTCTGTATTATGATGTATAATGTATAATGTATATTACATACTATTATGTTTATACACACACTATCATATAAACATGCAAATTTTCGACCATTTTTGTTTTATTCCTCAAACAAAGTGTATCCAGTCAAAGTAATTGTTATATAATAGTTATTTTGTGGGAGGTTTCCTTTCCCGAGTATACAAATATATATTATATGCGTTTATAAACAACCGATTGAAACACCACAGAAGCTACTTCAACGGTGTCCCAACAAAACTGTTAATATTATGCGTACTCATGATTTTGCGGTGCCATATCGTGACAGATCATAAAATCAGTGGCACCACGTCGTGTTTACATTGTATTTAATGTTCGGGAAAACGCATTTTGGTTTTGAATTCATTTCACGTAACATATTATACAAAATATATGAAATGAATACCTAATAATATATACAATATTCATACAATATGCATATATTATAGGATCATACTAAAATAATTTGGATAAGTATTTATAATACAGTTTCCTAATACAGTGAATTAGGAAAATACTCCCATTTGACTAAATTTTCTGTTAATTGAAATATTTCTCTAATACGATTTTTATTTATTTCCCATGAGACTATGCGTAGGTAGTAGTTAAGTTTCACTGTACGTAAATGTGTTACGTACAATTATGCATTGATAAAATATGAAACTATAAATTATAATTTATCTAGTTTTTATGTGATTTTTGGTATTTTACAATGATAAAAGAAAATTGATTAAGTATGTACTTAGTTATTACTATTTCAAAAAATATGCAAGCACCAAGCAGATACCCATATTAATACAATTTGTTGTACATACACTAAGAACCTAAAGGTCTTAACTCCGGGGTATAAAAACGTCAGTACTCACTATTCAGTGTACATCTATTACATTTTAAATATAAAGTTATAAATGATGTTGTTTATCAAGTTATATTAAATAGTTTAATATTTTTAAAGATGGCAAATAATAAAACAAATACATATTAAGAATTATATTTAGATTATTTATAACCCGTTGACAATTAATAATTATATAATTTTATTTATGACTATCTGCGGGGACATAACTATAGATTATATTAACCTATTAACCGCAATATTAAAAAATATTATAATATATAATGAGTTGTCAAAAAATATGGTTTTAATTTTAATGTAACATATAATATATTTTATAACAATACCTATTCATGCTAAATTGGTTTATATTGACAAACAACTTAAAAATGTACTATAGAAAATGGTCGAGCCACACAAAATAAGTAGGTGATAAAGATACTATAATAATTTAACGTCGGATTTCGACGTGTAAACCGACGGCTTTGACCGTTTGTATTCCTTGCCGTTTTGTACACTCAGCCGGCATCCACTGCTCGTTAAGGGCTGACTAAAGATTTTCTTGCATTTTTTTCTCTTTCGTCTAATTTCTCGGGTGTTGAATAATGACCCACCCCCAAACAAAATGCCTAGTTTATAATGTCGTTAACGCGAAGTCTTCAATCACGCCAAGCAAAACCTCTCTCTTAACTCTATCTCTTCACTCTTTAATTCTTTTTCTCTTTACCCTCCTCAGCCTTTGATAAATGAACCGCGTTTTGTGCAAAAAGCTACCGCTCCAGCACAGCGTAGCCAATTTTCGGTCTTCATTGAAAATTCTCCAGCTATTCGCTCACCCCTCCGTAAATAATATATCCCTTTCACGCCTCTCCAATCATGTGTGTGTGTGTGTGTGTGTGGGTGTTGTATCTGGCGACTGCTGGCTGGAATATATACGTGTGAGTTTTTGACAGCTGATAGCTGGATTAACTGACTTACCAACGGAAAAACAAGTGTAAAATAGACAGGAGGGGGTCGATGACTTGATGCAATTCAAATGTGCAATTCGGAAAACGATAGCCATTTAAATAAATATATAAGGAGTGGTTTCTTTTCCAAACTCAATTGAAGTAATAATAGAAAAACAAGACGTATGTGTACAACAAAAATGAGTATATGTAGGCACCTACAATATTAGCGCTATCGTTATAACTTATAATGTATGTATGCAATTGCAAAAAGTATAAGTTTGTTTAACGCATAAATATAATAAAATATTATATTATACTATTATACAAATTGCATGCTGTTGTAATATTTAAGTTTTGAGTGAACTTGCCTACATACAAGTCATATTTTAAATAATTTGAATAATATTTGATATAATACAAGTACAACCAATACTGTTTTTAATATCACCAAATATCAATAATGTATGTTTATTATTTTAAATAGATAAATAGTTTCAATATTAAAAAGACAAGTTTAGTCATACAGGTAGTTACATAATATATACAAGCAATAATTATAAATGTAAATTGTCAAAAATAATATTATGCGTATAGGAATTTAAAAACATAGGACAATATAATTTAAAGCCCGGCAACTATGGCCATTAGCTGTTTGTATGTGGATAGGTTGATTTGAAACACTTATTTGTACGTATGGCAAGGAAGTGTTGTAAAAACCCTGGTGGTCACCCATCCGAGTGCTAGCAACGGCGGCCGGTACGTACGCTCAGAGCGTTGCCGCAGATTGAGCGTACGACCGCGCCTCATCAAGCCATAACAATATTATTATTTCAATAACTAAGAAAATTTGTTAATATACCTAGTTTAGAATTGTATTGCAATTATTATTGATAAATATTTATTGTGTTATTTTTTATTGGAACATTTAGATTTTACATGTATAATAAAACTGCATTTATACAATTTCCGTACAACCGACAACCGATGGGAGTGATCTAAAATATTTTTTAGAGCTGAATATATGCTTTGAAATAAGTTGTTTAGACCAAAAACCAATTGAATAAAATGCCCGTATGTCTGGGGATCGTTAGCTAAAACAACAAAAATGTTCGTTTTGAATATTCGCGGATCAAAAAGGTACAGCGTAGCCGGGATTATTTGATAAAAAAAAAGAAAAAATACATAAAAAGAAAGGTTTATTTCATACGGGTTGTTTTCTTGAGTTAAACATAAAAATAAATCATCTGGGCCACGTCATATTCTCGGATTTCGTTTAGCGTAACAAATTTGCAAAATCACAAAGTTTCTTATGCTACAAGCTTCCCTGGACCGGATGGTGAAATGTAGGTAATTTAATTTTGATTAAAAAAAAATAGTAATAAAAACAAAAATAAATAATAATAAACGAGAAAATAATAATAGAATAAGGTGTTTGAATATACAACTATAGGCACAAGAAGATTGATGTGCAGGGCGCCTCCCGGTGAACTGCAGGTGATTTAGATGATACTATATTGATATAGGTACACTCACTGTATTATAGTTGTGTATGATAACAAAAGAACTGGGGTGACAATGGGAACTATAAACGGGGAGACAGTTTTCAATCAGCAGTAAATATCCGTGAACAATTGAACAACCCTCGAACATATCAACGTGTATAGTTATCGATGTAAATGTGTAATCCGATGATGAATTATTATTATTACTTCCAGGAATTTGAATATCATAAATTGAGTTTAAATGAACATTTTTACAAAATGTTTTTTCAGTCGAGTCCGATTTAATAAAAAAAAAAAATATAATAATAAATAATGGCGAATTCGTGAAAACAAATTATTTGAAAGCTTAGATTAAAAAAAAGTATATATCAAACCAGAACAAAAGCTATGGCACTTACAGTTTTCGGTGATTTTCGTATGGTTAACCTGCATATTATAAATGATTGATGAAAATGAAAAAAAAATGTGTGCCAGAACTCGTGGTGAAACTTGGTTTCTTAAACGAAATTCGTGAAATCAAAATGTTAAATAAAATGGTAGGTAAGTATGGAACGCATAATGCAATTTGAATTGTGAGCGCTAGTGGAGATTGAAAATTATACATCACATAATATGTAAATATGTGTATAGATTGAAATTTCATTCAAAAGAAAAAGAGTCTAAATTAAAATTGATTTAATATAATATCTATTAATATTGATGAATAATAATAATTAATTCACGTTCACGGTTCACGTTCCTTTCTCCTTTATTAGTACCTAATTTATACTAAATTCCTTCTATTTGATCTATTTCTAAACATACATCATCATGTCGATCGAATATGCGTAAAATATGAATACTATATAGTATAAAGGAAGATCAGCATGTTAAAATTACGAAGATAATTATGAATACTTAAAAGTTTAAATTGTATACACCTCTAGTATGAATTTAAACTTTCGACAATGGCTATTACTCGAGTGTTAATTAATAAAGACTCAAAAAGTTGTTTTTCTCTTGTCTAGCCTCCCCTTAATCCTCCATTATTTCTTACCAATATACCACCCCCTGATGTAATATAATATTATTGTTGTTATTAAACGAGGGGTGATATGCAGGGTGCGCGTATAATGACCTGCGACTTTATTGTTATGATATAAATTTTCATAATATTTTAACACTATAATATAATATATGTATAGCTGTGCAACACGAGCGAGGACCACGCAAACCAAAGTTGCACCATCACCACCACCATCACCATCATCACCCGATGAAGGACTCACCGCAGCCCACCGTCAACCACCAGCGGCCACCTGGCCAAATCCCGCTGAGCGCCGACCACAACAACATGATCCAAAAGACGTCTTACCCAAAGACGCCGATGGACACGGCCCTGCCACCCATGCCTCCTGCGCCGCCGTCGCAGCAACACCACCACCATCTTCAGCAACAGCAACAGCAGCAACAACAGCCGCCGCCGCTTCCACAGCAGCAGCAGCAGCAGCAGCAGCCACCACCGCCGCCCACGCTTTTGCCTCCAACGCCGCCGCAGGGACACGTTTTCTTGGGGCAACAACAGCCGCCCCCGCCGCCCGGGCTCTTGCAGATACTCATGTCGGCCGAAAAATGTCAGGTAAACGAAATCGCTTGGCATACATCTATATATTAGTTATAAATTATAATATAATATTATTGCCGTGTTGCATAAAAATTGATGAAAATCGAATGGATTAATTATGGGACACTAAATCTTGTTTTAAGAATTAAATTCGCTCACTAATGGTTCATCAAATGTTTAGTATACAACCCGGCATAATTTGATAATGCGTCCTCGTTAGATATATAATATTATAATTATAATTTATAATATTCAGAATTAATATTTATATAAAACTACAATCTATTTAAATTGAATTAAGGACTGTTATGCTCAAGCACAGATATGCATGTAATTAATTAATTAACGTATAGGTAATCGAAATGACATAATTTACAAGTGAAGCTGCAGCGTTTTCTCTACGAAATCTCTTCTGTGATATCGAACGCGGTCGGTCAAAGGACTCGAACGGTGTATATGTATATGATATTAACATAGCAGGTAGATATTATATATAATATATATACATAAAAGCCGGGAGGCGCGACATCTAAATTTCGGTGGCCAATAGAAATATTTAGCTAGGCAGGTACATAATGTACGTATATGTACGTACGTGCACACTGCAAATAATAAGGACACGTGTAATACACTGCTGCCGAAGGAGTGTGTGTCGTCCTAATATAATACACGGTGCTGCGGCGCGGCGAGAGGACGGTGAGCGGACCGAAAGTGCGCGAAGGAGGAGGAGCAGGAGGATTCTGCGGCGGCGGAAGAGGAGTGTAGCGCACTCGCGCGATGAGTCAGGCCCCCCCCCTCGCGCGTGGACGTTTTGATGTGAGAACTGGACCACATGGTCCTCGCGGGTTTTAGCAGCAATCGAACCCTTTGTTCGCGGACGTCAAAGACGCCCTCTGGCTTTACCGTATTATACGTTTACTGCACACACGGACGCGTATACGATCGTGTAAATATATGTATAAATACGTTCGTACACATATATATACACATATATATATATATTATATACAACGCTGAATGTGTGTCGAGTATTTTACACATCACATTGTGTCGACCCTCGGGCTTAAGCTCGACTTTTATCGCTATTAGCATCGGTGTAGCGGAGACGACGTGTAATGCGATGGCGGTGACGAGCTGCTGACGACTGCCATAAATTATATTATATTATATTATTATTATATAGGTACATTTTATTTTATATATTTTATAGTCGGTTTATTATTTTTTTTTTTTTTATTTACGCCTTGACTCGGAAAATTTGTTTTCGTACCTACTTATGACGTATAAATATAAATATAATATGCGTATTATGTATACGTAGCTTTCCAATCCTTGAGCGTATTAATACCAGTGTTCCGACATAGGTGTAATCGTTGCAAACAAAATCGCATTTTTCTTATGTATAAGCATTGAATTATAAACCGAAATATGGACTAATATGAAACTAAAAATATCTGTTGTTTAAAAAGAATAAAAACCTAAACACCACCACGTTAAAAATTTAACTGTTCCGACACATTTTCTTGTAAAGGTTATAAAAATATTTTGAATAGTTATTGGTTGGAAACTTTTTCTTACACAAAAAAAAGTATTGGGATACAATTTTTATATTATTGACGAGTGTTACTGAGGCTCAGTTATATATTGAAATCAACCCTGTTGTACCAATGCATAATTTATTGTTATAATATATGGTATTTTTATGACCATTGGATATGTAGTAGATGTAACATTCGCTCGAAATTATTTTTTATTTAATGAAAAAATTGCTTGTCTTTTTCCCGCTCATAGGAATTGATATGGAGTGCAAAGATGTCAGAAGCCTCGTCACCTATTGGCATACCACAACCGACCAGTCCTCAGAGTTCACTATCGTTGTCGTTGTCACCGACTTGGGAAGTCTTACAGGTAATTAAAACAATTACGTCGTAATCATATAATATATATTTAAATAATTATATAACGGTGTTACTCAGTGACGTAGCTAGGGGGAGAGAAGGGCCATGCCCTTTCCCAAACATGGACCGAAATTTTTTTTATCATTGATTTTGTATCAGAAAAAGAAATATTGACTGCTTTTATTAAAAAATCTCCTTAGAGGATGAAAGTTGTAGATTGAACACAATGATAATATAATATTATAAAGTAGGTATAAGACATCATGGTGTCACTGTATGCGTTATTAAATATACAGAGTGATTCACCAAGCATGATCACTTAGTCAATCCCTATTTTTCTGTAATAATGCAGTTATTCAAAATCTAACTTTTGGAATTTTTAAGTATACTTAAAAGTTAAAGACCATATTTTCAAAGTCTTAAGATTTTTTGTTCTACTTAATGAGTGTCCTGTGAAGATATAAGCTTTTGTTTTTCAAATGATAATCCCTTTTTCAATTGTGAATTATTCATTAAGTAATTTTTCTGAAAAATTATGTATCAGAATATTCAGAATCAAAATTCATACGAGTAATTTTTAAGTTATTTAACTTTGTGTTCTAAGGATAAAAGGTCCTTGGTAATGGGCTTATAAGATATGAAGATATGGTGATTAGAGCATTTTAGTCGTTAAACATTAATCTATTAACATTAATATCTTGTAAATATCTCCCAAGTCTATTACTTTCAATATTATGTCTATTTTATATTTTTGTAAAACTATTTTTAAGGGCTATAATCGTTATTCGCTTGAATTTTAAATTAGGTAGTATTTACAATGAAAAATGTTCAAAAAAATAATTAGGAACTTTTAACCCAACCATTGCAATTGGTGAAACTCTGTTGTCAATTATTAGCGGTGATGTACAGTTGATTTTACCTGCAATGGGAGGGGTTAATAGTGATTAATTATTATTAATATTTTATGTTTCTTACATCTGTATATATAGTAAAAATGTACAAAGGGGATAGGGAGCTGAACACCCCCTTCCACCGTGTGTACGCCACTGGTTATTACTTATTAGTATGGGTACCTACCGATTTATTTAATTAGGTATATAATATTATGTAGAAATATAGAATATTAGATATAGTAATAAATACTGCCTAACTTTATTTTTCTTTAATAGTAATTATTCAAGTGGTCACTTTTTATAATCTTATATTTAAAATACTATACTGAGTATGTATTTATACCATTTTAAACGTGATATATTCAATTGTTAGGTATATTAAATCATCGACGTCACATACGAAAATGACTGATGAGATATCAATTTTATGTTATTTTAACTGTTTTATAATTTAAACGTTATACATTTATAATATTATAGTTAATTTATATAATCATCTTAATTTTTAGACACCTATTTAATTAATCATTACCTACTCGTCATTCATTAATATTTAATATCTGAAATGCCTAATTCTCCGTTCTTATAATGCGTACTAGGTAAAGTCCAATAAGTCAATTATACATTAAGTATAATATACCGTTGTATATAGTTTTAAATTTATTATTGTTCGAGTTTTGACAAATCAGACAAATCAGTCAATATTTACAGAATTATATTGCAGCACTTTCAACAATTGATGTACCTACCTAATATTGACATTGGCTATATGCGCTATACACGTATAGGTCTGTAGATAACTGACGTTTCAACACATCGGGTCGATGGTATACGCACTGGGGTAAGGGATTATATTTTATACACGAGGGTTGACTTTTTGACTGCCCGCCTACTTTTCTGCGGGTGGCAAAAGGTGTGCCCCTTTATCCAATCGCCTGTGATTGAAGATTAAAAATGGCGACCCAGTACAAATACATTTGACAAATACATTTATTTATATAGTGTATATTAGTGTTATAATGATGCTTAGTAAAGTTAAGGTTTTTGTTTTACTATTTTACATTCTAAGCCGAGCAATGAAAGTATTGATTTTACAATGATACATTTAGATGTTTTTATTATTATTATTTTTTGTGTCTGTGTAATGATACATTGTCGAAATAATGCTTCGATTTTCAACTTCAGTATCTTTTCCGGTGGGAGAACGAATCTAGTTGTTGTATTTGGAAGGTCAAGGTTTAAAATTCCCAGTACTTTTCAAAAGCGCCGGGAAAACAAACGCAAATTTAAGGAAAAACAGGAATTTTGCATAAAAATCGATTTTGGTTTTGATGTAACTCTTAAAAAAATTACCGTAGATACATGAAATTTTCCCTGAATATTAACATTAACATTTTCTATACACCACAGCTAATGGTCATTGTCGCCTGGCCTAAACTAAGTTAACCATATATTGTTCTTTGTGTTACAGGAGACCACAGCTCGATTACTCTTCATGGCTGTTAGATGGGTCCGATGCTTGGCTCCGTTTCAGACCCTTTCCAAACACGACCAGGTAATAAAAATATATACATTGTATTGCCAGGATTTATAATTATAATGAATTGTCTTTACTGTTAATATACGCTTATATAACCATATAAGATACTCAATACTTTATACTATACTGCAGTGGTAATGTACACATTTGCACTATATAGCTAACTATATATGGCTAAATTTATATTAAATGCACTAAATATTTTTGGTGGCTAGAGTCTCGCCTACAATAATTTTTTTAGACACCAAGTATAACAGTGATGCATAAGCCGCGCTGATAGCCTAACATACCGATACACTAAAATGAATTTGTTACTTATAATTTAAAATAAAACTATGTGACCATCTATGTATACACTCATGTACAGATTACCTACTAATATATTGTGGTAATTCTTTTAACTGATGCAGTGAACACTCATTATACATTTCGAAAAGTATTATATTAACTTAATATTTTGTTTTGTTATATTTTAACTTTACGTAGGTATTATGGTAACTGGTCGTAGACGCTAGCATTAAAAAAAAAAGTTTGAAGAGAATAATTATTATTTTTATTTTTGGCGACGTCGAATCTGATTTTGTTTTATCTGTAAAACAGTTGCTACTGCTACAAGAATCGTGGAAAGAATTGTTCCTGTTACACTTGGCCCAGTGGTCCATTCCTTGGGACCTATCGCCACTGCTAAATTCAGAAAAGGCTCGCGAAAGACTACCAGCGGACGACACAAAGGTCAACAACGAAATGAAAATTATACAAGAGATATTGGCACGCTTTCGGCAACTGTCGCCGGATGGCAGCGAGTGCGGTTGCATGAAAGCAGTTATTCTATTCACCCCAGGTGAGTGGTGAATTACTATGGCGAATGTTGATTGACATTCGAAGTTAAAACGTTTATTATTTCAAAAATATTTTATATAAGATGTTGTGTACTTGTGTATACACTATATTATTGTGATTTAATCTTATTCACGGTAAAAAAAAAAAACATATATATATATATATAATGTATTCCCATTACCCATATAATATTTTCTTTTAAATATAGGTATATATTATAAGATATTAATGTGTATATAATATCATCCATTACTTGTTGCCATAATTTATATGTTTAAAATTAATATAGTAGGTATATATAAACTATAATAAATGCATCTCATCATCTTAAAATATAATATTTTATAGTTAAAATTAAATTTTTTATTATTTTTTTATTTAGAACAAAGGCTTCAACAGCTAGGTTATTACCCTTCGGTTGTATTTACATTAATATTAATTCATAATTTAGTTATAATTGGTAATTACATATGGTTATAGGATAGGTAGTTTTTACAGTAGATATTATATACAATTACATTTTATATTAGTTGTACAGTTTTATCTAAGAAAATATTATATAGGTATACCTATGTTTTTGTTAGTAATTCTTTTTTACTGTGAACAAGACTCACTAACTATTATTTGTTTCAAACACTCAAGTGTGATGCATTTTTAAAGTTTTTATCACCCATAATATATACTTAAAAATTCGTTTTTATGTAGAAACACCGGGCTTGATAGACGCTCAACCAGTGGAAATGCTCCAAGACCAGGCCCAGTGCATATTAGGTGATTACGTGCGGGGCCGGTATTCAAGACAGCCCACAAGGTTCGGGCGGCTGTTGCTTATGTTGCCCAATCTGCGGGCAGTCCGGCAAGCCACCATCGAGAGGCTGTTCTTCAAGGAAACCATCGGTGACATACCCATACAAAGACTGCTCGGTGACATGTATCACATGGAAAAGTCGTACGCGTAGTTAACCAAACATAATATAAATCTTTATATTGTGTGTTAAAGTTCCATACAACGAACTTCCATTTCACAAAATGTTCTGTGTAACAAAATATTTTTGGGAACCAAAACAAATTAATTTAATTCTAATTACCGAAATTTTCTATAAATAATTCAATTTTTCTGTTGCCCATGACACTTTGTAATATATAGAAGTTTCACTGTATTACACTATTACATAGTGCATTAGTGTGATGTGACTACTGTACTAGTCAAGTCTAAATAGATATGTCATTATATATTAGCATATAGTGTTATAAATACAATACAGTCCTACTAGTCTATATACAAGATCCATGCTTGTATAAATATATAATTCACTTTATAGGCGTAAGCGTACTTTATGCAATTGTACTAATTATATACTAAATTCTTAGACATTTAAATGTATTGGACATCTATTAGTGTTACACTTTATGTGGCTGTGCGCCTATTCTAGTAATATAGAATGATATGTGATATGTCCAAGTGTCCAACTCACAAATAGTGTGTTGTTATGAAAAATTTCGAATTTTATTTCTCTGGATTTCTGAAATCCTTCAATTTAACGATGAAAACCACTCAATAATTTAAATATGTTTGTAATTCTTTAAATATGTATGTTTATAGTTTGCATACCTACCTACCTATATTGAAATTGGATACTGGTACGTACCGGAATACCAGTATGATTTTACCGAAGCATTCTAGAATATACCTACCGTCAAATATAACATATATTGTAATATACCAATTATGCCAGAATTGATAATACCATCATATTACGTATGTATCAAATACTGAAATATAGTAAAATACGATTACTTACCAATTATATCACTTTAAAATAATTAGATATAGAAGATTAATGAAAATTTAAATATACCACATAGTTAGGTTATAACCAAACCTTTGGTATTGACCGACATTCTAGTTTATATCGTTCAAACTTCAAGAGGTTTTTGAGAAATAACTGGAAAAATAGTTAACCTTATGTCCTTGTGTACAAACCAAAAGTATACACACGCATTTCAAAACCTACTTACTATACATGATATATATTAAATATTTACTAGTTAACCACTTTTATAATCGGTACAGCTCTTCTGACCACCAACTCTGCAGTTATATATAATATATAATGCAACTTTTTTTATCATATAACTAAAATGTAAATATCTAGAACACTGGGTATGATTTACTTACTGCAGTCTTACTCTCGATTTTGTCAAAGATACAAAAATAGAATGAATAATTAGGAGTCTTTTGAGACTATACATTTACTGCAGCATGTAGGTACAACATGGAAATAACAATGGTAGATCAAACACGTGAAGACGTTATACATGTATAACGTTAAAAATTTTAAATTTACATATTATCTATAATATTATAAATTAATAACTGAAAGTTCACAACTAAAGTTCAAAATTAAAGATCTTAACCTAGAGTTATCTGCAGATTAGATAAAATGTTTTTTTTTTGTCAAACGGTTTGACCGAAAATGTTTTAAATTTTCAGGCAAACGATAAGAAATTAAATTGCCCGTACATCTCTTATAAAAACCATCATTTTTCGAGGACATTGTAAAAGCATTTGTATTAATGCGCCGTGACATTATTTGATTACGAAAATAACAACTTATGTTATGATTTTTAAAGTAAAATTACACATTTTCAAGAGCTATCACAGTTGTTAGTTACACACAAATAGGACTTTAGGTGGACATTTTTCAAGATTTTCATTTAATTTCATAGTGCCAATAAAGATATCTAAACATTGTAAGTTTAGAGAATTGGGTGTATTTGGCCATTTAGTATTCGTGATTATTTGCAATATTTCAGTATTTGTCCACAATACATCTCGTCATCAGAATTGTCTGTTATTTAAATTATGACCATGTACTTATGTTATTTATTATGTATATATATATATAACTTTTTAATTTTATCGAAATCAGCTAAAAATTTTGAAATAATATGTGGCATACCTATTATTTAATATTTATATAATACAGTCAATAGCGATATAGCCGTGAGAGCTTCTCTAGTCATGATTTATTTTGTTACCAAATCGTTTATATTATATTACATTTATTATCATTATTATTTATTATATACAGTTATTACTTTGATATTTGATATGTATTTATCTGTTTAAAAATACTTTATATTTTCGTGTATATAGGTACTACTCGCTCCGTGTGTCTTAAACAAATAAGAGTACCTTTTAATTATACTATTAAAATATTGAACTTTATACAATCATCTTTGTAGCTGTATGATCTTATTTACAAATATAATTGTTTGCCCAAATGTTTGCATACTTGTAACTTGTAAGTTATAAGTTAATAATTCCTATACATTTTAAACTATCGTCTATCAATTATACTTGTAATTTAATAAATTTAAAAAAGAGTCCTTTAGTTATGTCCTGCAATGTCTAATGCGTTTTGAGAACACCTATACCTACCTAATAATAATTATAAATTATAGAAAATTAACGATATATTATTATAACCATTTACAAATTATATTTAAACACGTCGTTGTTAAAAAGTTAATCCTTAGTTAAAAGTAATTTATGTCATCACTCCTCATTATTATATCACTCTCATATCCCTCACTCTCATATTTATATTGAATTGTCATCATTACCAAATTTGTGATTTATAATTAATAATTACCTATATACATTTCTATAGTCATTGTTGTAACTATTTATTTACAAATATAAACACGTATGAATATATATTATATTTAATATATATTTATGCTCCAACATATGTTTTAATTGTACCTATATACACCAACCTACCACTGCCATAATATAAAAATATTATTATTTATTTTCGTTTAATGTTTAATTATCATGACAATCAGTGGCGCAACTAGACCTCTAAAACACAGGGTGCTAAATCTGTGAATGCATCACAGAGTTGTGGGGAGCAGAGCCACCCACACCCCCCTGCACCTAAACCTACAATACTCGATAAATCAACATTTTAAAATACATATTAACACACTTCACATAAATAAAAGAAAATAAATTAATAATACTCTTTTTTTTCTACAATATCGATTACATATTGGTAAATTTTAATTTCATAATCTTGTTAATAAATAAAGAAAATAGAAATATCATATATTTTAAATCAGCATAATTTTTCTGGGTTTCATGCAGTTTAAATAATTCTGCAACTATGTAATGTGATATAGTTACAGAAAAGTTCGTCGACGGCCATATGAATGTAATTTATTAAATAGATCAAACAAATGTCAATGATGTACACTGTTATTTGTTTTCACACAACCTACCCATTATAATATATATATAATAAGTTAAACACAAATCTGCTGTTAGATTTTAGTACATTTACTCAAAAATACATAATAATAAATAAAAGACAATATTTTAACCTGACCAGTCATGCTCAATGTTGTGATATAATATTGTATTTCATAATTAATACACACTAAATCGAATGAGTAACGTTAGATTGGATATTGCTAATATATTAATGTGCCTATATCTTAATTATATGGTTACACATAAATATATGTTAAGATGAACTATTTATTTGATGCAGGACCATATAATATTATTATGCATAATCCATAGTGTATCTATGCAATACAAATATTTTAGTTTTTTACAACAACAGAAAATGCTATGTATTTGCATTCAATAAAATTATATTTACATCTATTTTGTTAACTATATGCAATAATAATAATTGCTAAATCCTACGGATTTCATCGGTTAAACAATATTTAATGCAGTATTCACTGCTGAATACAAATGCTCAAATTGATGCACATGGAATCTTCTGAGTAGGTATCCCGTACGTTTAGACGTTATACAAATAACGTAGGGTAGGTAAGAACAAATCTGGGTGGCTGATAATTATTGTCTTCTCAGTTCTCAACCACGGAAGACTTATGCTGTACTATGGCCTCCCATGTGCATGAAGTTGGCCGCCCCACCATGAACAATTTTTTAGAAAGATGTGTTATCATTTTGCAAATAAATTACCTACAAGATATGAAAAATATAAGATGGGGGCAACTTCACGCTACACCCCCTTTTGAGCTACGAATTGAAATATGCTGCTAACATTTTGCAAATAGCCGCTAACTTATTTATAATTTCGAGTCCAAAAATCATACCAATCATTGGTGTTTATACGTAGGTGTAGTTTATAGTATAATTTAAAATTATATTATGCAATACACAATTGAAATATACTACTTACAGAAGTATTTTACAGAATATATCGGGCTACTATTTAATATAAGTTTAATATAGAATAATTGTTTCTTACCCTTTTAGTCTTAATACATGGTAATATAACAATAAACATAAATTAATAATTAATTTTTTGAATTTATTTATTAATTCTTTTTACTCTATATTTGTAGGAACATAACATGGGTTATTGAATATTTTAAGCTCATGGCCATCAAATAAGAGTTCACATTAATTAATAACAATTTTTATTTTGTTTGCTAATAAATAGATTATGTTTTTCAGATCTTTAAATTGTATTCATTTTAAATTTACTTTATTAATTTTTAATTATTAAAGTTAGAAATCATGGTTCATGGTTCTCGTCATTTATTATAAAACGTCAGGTCGATACATCAAAAGCATTTTTAGCCACCAGACTGTTTCAATCCTTTGCGGACTTTTTCTTATTTTGGTGCCGGATCCTGGAGTCATGTCACTATAATAGAATTATTGGTAAAAGGAAAATTAAAAAAAATAAATTGATTTAATTAATTATTGATTATTATTACTTTTATTTATCTTGTAACAAACGCTTATTATAAATTTAAAAATAATAAAATATAACCTTTTTGTTTAATTAAAAAAAAGACATCTCTTATTGCTATAGTTGACTTTTGTACCAATGTACGTGTCATTTTTTCTTACTCTTTCACATATAAAATTACATCTGATTATATTTTTGTTGAATTAGAGGAACTTTTAGTTTTTTTTGCCAAATCTTTGTGCACTTCCCGTCTATTTACGCGGTGTACATACGCTATAATATAATGATCATGTTCATAAAAAACTGTTCCGGATAATAAATAATATCTAAAAATTATTTAAAACAATTAATTAAATAATATATTATTTTGAAATAACTATATACAATACCTGTTATTGTCAATTGCCAGACTACATTGCAAGTCAGCCAATGAGTACTCTTGATATTCAGTAATTTAATCTGTTTCAATAAATAAATGATTTACTAGAATTCTCGTTACATTTAAAAATCCCAATCAGTTTAGTTCTGTGCTTTAGTTTTTTTACTTCATTGTATTCTTTCAAACTAAACTCCAAATCGTTGAGATTATTGAATGATGATTTTAAAATTATTTTTGGACTTGGTATAGTTTTCGACAAAGCACAGTTGAAACACAGTCGTTTTTCAACGGCGGATGACACACTTTCAAACTACAAAAATTATAAGGAGTTGTAAGTTGTACATAGCAAATAGGTACATAAGACTGCGAGTAAGCTGCATTACTATTTTCTTTTTTAGATTGCGTGAAATTTGTGAAGTTGAAATTTCGAAAAATTTTCCAAAATATGAAAATTAAGCACACTAACGTAAAAATAAGCGATTTCCGGCAAAATGTATGAACTATGCAAAATATGCACATACAAATTTTAGATTTGGTATGAATTTATTTCGCTTTCTGCTACATTTTACAGTAAATAAAAAAAGTATGCAAATGCTACAAGTCCCGAACCTTGGTCATAAGGTTTTTTCCCCCGTCACTTACCTTTATGTGAGAGCCTTAGTTAGGTACCTACACTGCTGTATATATATTACATTATTTATTACACTATAGTGTAGTAGTATAATATAATCACACAATTTTTTAGTAAACACTGCACACTATTATAGAGTAATATTGTTTGATAACATATTAATGCCGAGCCCAGAGAGAATATTATATTCACGGTTAAAGTATCCATTTTTTTATTACTTCTGTAAATTTTAAAGCCTAATTTTGAATTTTTTTCATGTCTCGATACTTCTAGAGTTTTATATTAAGTTATAGTTCAACCGTTAAGACTAAAAACAATATTGTGAGATGCTGGACAAAAAAATGGACTCGCGACAGTAGTGTATCTAAATGGCCTATACGCAGAGTTCCGTGTTCTGAATTGTTTAGATTTAAACACTCCGAAGAAATGAATAATATTATGTTTCGGAATCTGAAATAAAAAATGTATCGTGTCATCCAAAGAATTCAAAAACTCGAAAACTGATAACAACATATTATATTATATCTACCATCTATGGCAAAAGCCGATGGTCATCACTCATCGGAGACGATTCACAATTCTAATAATTTCATTGAACAAAAGAGAAATGTGTAAGGCAACAATAAACATTTACTAACATATTTCATTCTACTCAAGTAATTTTTATAAAAAATCTCGATTTTTTCAGTTCGGATTTAGATGAAGAAAGAAGTTCCTCGATATGGCGTCTGCACTCCAGATATGTCCTTGCAGCTATATATTCCCCGAACAGTCGATATACGAAGAGCATACGTAAGTTTGATTACCTATTCTTTTGGGGCTTACATATTGTTTTACTTTTTAGTCTCAAAATTAAAATTTATTGTCACAGACAATTTGCTACCCGGGTAAAGTAGGGGCATATTTTTTGTTCCCGAGCGCGCAACACAAAAAAATACGCTTATAGCACAAACGACGACGACATATCCAAGTCGGAGAATAATAACATATTTATACAATTAAATAGATGTAAATAGTGTTGTACATACTAGTCATACTACAGTAGTACAGTACATTTTCTTGTGTCCCGCAAAATTCAACAATTTTTATTTTTAGTTTATATAAATGTTGAGAAGTATATGAATATTATTATGCCGTCTGCTTGTGGTCGAACCGCGAATTAAAATGACGCCGTCGTACATCAAACATCACATTATCTTATAAAGCTAGGAAAGTCGCTCTGGTGATTATTGAATATCTATCGGAAATTAAATAAGGAAATTTTAAATATTCTCGAATAGCTTAAAATATACCTAACCAATGCACTCAAAATTAATACAAAAATATTAATTATGAATTTCGTGCTCGACAGTATTCAGAAAAAAGATTTAACTTGGAATTTTACAAACTATAGTTGGTATAGTCGATGTACGGTAAATGTGATGCATTGGGTACTGCATACCATTATGTTAAATCTAAAAAGTAGTAATCACATTTATTTACAATAAGATTTTTTATTTAATAACTCATAAAAAAATATGCTTGTGCTTCGAATATCTAAACACCACCTTAATTAATTATTAAAATAATAGGTACTTTATATATTGTTGAAATTTAAATTTTAAAATTATAAACTATTTTGGTTATTGTCATACCTCCTTTCATTATCTTAATGATCAAATCTCAAATACGGACCTCCTTGATTTACAATTTTGTAATATACTATAAATCTATGGTTTAATCATATTGACGTAGTATAAATTATAACGCATTCCGTGGCGATTGTCGAATTAATTGCAAAGACGCAATCGATCTAAAATTTCAGTTAGCAAAGCTGCAGACATGAACAAAGAACATGAAGCGATCCGTACGGTTTTTTTTTTTCATAATAAATTTCAATATTTTCAGACTTAAGTTCAGTCGTATATCTGATTTATTCCTCAATGAACATGCAATATCAGGAATTTCACCGAAGCCAAAAAGCGTCGATGTTTAAAGTAATTAATTTTGGTTTCATATTTTTTTGGTGCTTAAAATTATTTTTTATACTACAAATAAAAATTTAATTTCATGAAAAATATGCTACCCATGTGTAGACACATATTTTATTTCTGAGAGCAAATGCATAAAATACGAGAGATCAAATAATATACAAACGCCGCTCGTCGTTGTCGTTTTTCTGCTCCCTGATGGTAGGGTTATTTTGTAATTATAACCTATTTTTAAGTACTTTAAATAGACGTTTATTATACGGTTTAATTTAGAAATTCCCGTTATAAGTGATAACTCATAAGACACAATTTTAATTTATAACTTATAATTTTTTTTTAATCCAAAGTTAGCAGTTACAGGACACTATTAATTTAGTGTTATATATATTTCATTGTTCTATTAAAATATATTAATATTACATTATATTATAGTTGTGTCCAAAAAACAAAATTGTTCACAGAGGGGTAAACTCATTATCCTAAGAAGTAATCACCCCGTACGAGTGATTATGAAAAATATACTTTTATACTAGTATAGGTATCTTTATAAAATATAATAAATAGTAATGCAATAAATAGACACAGGCATTCAAATATTCTAAAATTTTGTAGTTATTCAAGCCTGGGTGTATACGAGTTAAAAAATTAAAGTTATGATGTCAATTTAACTTTTTAACTTCTTTTAGATTCCGAGCGGAGCAATGAATGCTTTGATTTTACAATTTATTTTTTCATTTATTTTGTTTCTGTCATCACGTTATTTTGGGAGAGTAATAGTGCTTAGATTTTTATTTAAATTTTGAATTTTGAATTTTTTTAGTTTAATTAGTTTTTTTTTCTATAATTGTTAATAAAATTGTAATTGTTGGGGAAAAAAGCTTAAAAATTCAATAAAATGCTCCTCATATTTAAGATATTTACATTATTAGCTAACAAATATTTAAAATAAATAGGCTTGATTTTTGCAATGAACATTTAAAGTTTAAATTTTAATAAAATTCACATCATTTAAAAATTTAAAATGTACAAATAATTTTATAATTTAAAATTTTTGAAATATTTAACTTTTGTAGGTTAGGGT